ATTTCATCCCAGTGCTGCGTGTCCCGAGCCGGTAACATCATAAATGACCCCTCAAACCCCCACCATGGACTGACTCCTGCCCTCTGGAAAGAGTTCTGCAACAGCTTTTCCCCCCCGCTGCCATCAGACTGTTGAAACTAATCTAGTCTCTATCACACTTCATATAAACATATTTGCACTGCCAACATGGCTGACCTTTTTCTTCATTCTTCATTATTTTTATTCATTCTTTGAATAGAACACAACATAATGTTCTACTGCATCTTGCACCATATTTATTTATTTTTGCACTTTCCATATCAATGCTTTTTGCACCATGACTTTAAACTGGTTGTCCTTTTCTCCTGCACCGTCTACATTCTTGATTACTGCTGCAGTTTGTAAATTGTAATGATCATTTCACTGTTGTAAGTGAAGTTAAAGTAATATGACACCTAACAGGGGAGTAAGTTTTTGAACACTTCAGCTTAAATAGGTTAGGAAAACATTTTTCACTCATTATAAATGGGATTTTAATTTCAAAGCTTTCAGTCTCGCTGCAGAAGCCTGAACTAAACATGCTTTCCAGTGTTGCCGCTGCAGCTGGCCGTGACCAAAGCCCACAGTCTGTGTGTCTGATTCCACATGAGGCTGACCCCGTTTGTATTTGTCAAACCACAAACTGTAGATGTTCATGTGGATACCCGTCGGTTCAGGCTGGTTAGCAAACAGTGATGAAAGGCTGACATTTTTCGTGCCCTACTTAACTTTACATTTCAGTGCTCGTTCAGCTCTGGCTACTTAAACACTGTGTTTTTTCTGCAATGTGAACCAATATCTTCTCATATGCATTATTTACTTAGAGGATATTTTTCTTGATACATTTATGTTAAAAGACCAAAATTATTAATGTTTCGGAAAAACTGCTATCGGAAGAGGTCTGTCTGCAGGCAGGTCAAGGACATCTCTTTACAAATTGGACTTATTAAATCTTATTTCATCTTGTATAGTGAATATAATCAAACATAAAGCCATTTACCTCCTTTTTAATCCTGCATATCTGCTGCTGTGTCAGTGGGTTATCTTCTAAATGTCCCTTTTCTGGGTCTACACGTGTTTCTTACCAACTGAACCTTTTTCTCCTTGAGAATCTCTCATGTCATTCCTGAAAGGCTTTAGCTGATAGCGAGGTCAGGAAGACAGACATGCGCTTGTACAAAACAGACAAGCTCAGCATTGTTTGGAAAATATCTGGATTGTCTGATATTTGTGTTTTATTTGCCTTATTTAAAGTTAGAAGTGATCCACCTGCAGCCCTGCAGTTTTTCTGATGGCATGGCGCCATCTAATGGAGATAGTTTGACACAGAATTTTCCTGGATTTGTGTCTCCTTGTAGCTCCATATACACTCACCGGCCACTTTATTAGGTACCCCATGCTAGTAACGGGTTGGACCCCCTTTTGCCTTCAGAACTGCCTCAATTCTTGGTGGCATAGATTCAACAAGGTGCTGGAAGCATTCCTCAGGGAGTTTGGTCCATATTGACATGATGGCATCACACAGTTGCCGCAGATTTGTCGGCTGCACATCCATGATGCGAATCTCCCGTTCCACCACATCCCAAAGATGCTCTATTGGATTGAGATCTGGTGACTGTGGAGGCCATTTGAGTACAGTGAACTCATTGTCATGTTCAAGAAACCAGTCTGAGATGATTCCAGCTTTATGACATGGCGCATTATCCTGCTGAAAGTAGCCATCAGAAGTTGGGTACATTGTGGTCATAAAGGGATGGACATGGTCAGCAACAATACTCAGGTAGGCTGTGGCCTTGCAACGATGCTCAATTGGTACCAAGGGGCCCAAAGAGTGCCAAGAAAATATTCCCCACACTATGACACCACCACCACCAGCCTGAACCGTTGATACAAGGCAGGATGGATCCATGCTTTCATGTTGTAGACGCCAAATTCTGACCCTACCATCCGAATGTCGCAGTAGAAATCAGACTCATCAGACCAGGCAACGTTTTTCCAATCTTCTATTGTCCAATTTCGATGAGCTTGTGCAAATTGTAGCCTCAGTTTCCTGTTCTTAGCTGAAAGGAGTGGCACCCGGTGTGGTCTTCTGCTGCTGTAGCCCATCTGCCTCAAAGTTCCACGTACTGTGCGTTCAGAGATGCTCTTCTGCCCACCTTGGTTGTAATGGGTGGTTATTTGAGTCACTGTTGCCCTTCTATCAGCTCGAACCAGTCTGGCCATTCTCCTCTGACCTCTGGCATCAACAAGGCATTTCCGCCCACAGAACTGCCGCTCACTGGATGTTTTTTCTTTTTCGGACCATTCTCTGTAAACCCTAGAGATGGTTGTGCGTGAAAATCCCAGTAGATCAGCAGTTTCTGAAATACTCAGCCCTTCTGGCACCAACAATCATGCCACGTTCAAAGTCACTCAAATCACCTTTCTTCCCCATACTGATGCTCGGTTTGAACTGCAGGAGATTGTCTTGACCATGTCTACATGCCTAAATGCACTGAGTTGCCGCCATGTGATTGGCTGCTTAGAAATTAAGTGTTAACGAGCAGTTGGACAGGTGTACCTAATAAAGTGGCCGGTGAGTGTATATATATATATATATATATATATATATATATACACACATATATTTTACATCTGGTAATTCTGCTGTGTAATGTTTTACACAATTAGCTCAATAGATAAAAAATAAAAAAAATAGTATCATGCTACATTTTTCATCCAGAAAATGCTCCACTTACATTTATCTGCTTCTTTTATTGGCACAAATTCAAAAGTTATCGATTTAACACTGGAAAATGCTGTATAGAAAATGTTTAAGTGAAGACTTCATTAAAAACAGATATTTTGCAAACAAAATGAGCATTAGACTGGGGAATAAAGGGGCAAAGGCTTAGAACATGACAGAGTGCTGCTGTCAGGTGGACTGGCTTGATTACTGCAAACACTACTGATCTTCTAGATTTTTATTTTATTTTTATAAATCCTCAGTTTTGCAGTGTATGTTTCAAAAGAAGGAAAATATCCAGAGCAGCAGCTGTGTTGGTAGCATCTCTCTTGATAAACTTGGGGAGTATGGGAGGCTTTCCAAGGCAACAATGGCTCAAATAGGATCTTTCTACCACCAAGGTAAACAAAATACAATTTAGGAACAAACCAGAACCTTGCTGGAAGTGGGCTACAGCCACAGACGACAATAAGGAATGCCATATGTGCTAACTAAGAAGAGCCTGGCCACAACTACTACTACCTCGCCAAAATGGAAGAACATGGTCTCCTGTGAAGAGTTACCACAAAAAGGGAGGCAAGCAGACTTTTACTCAGTTTTTTTCTAAAGATTTTTCCAGACCTATCCTGAAATCCCTGTCAGTTCTGTCGGTTTACACCAGAGCAATCTGTGGTTGCACTGAAAAAAACTAATTTTCTTTTTAAAATAAGTGCATTTGTTCTTAAACTGAGGTAAAAGAGACATCTTGCCAATGGAACAAGACAATTTACACTTAAAATAAGAAAACACAACTGCATTGTCTTATTTATGGTGCATATTATCTAATCATCTTATTTTAAGAGTAAAAATACTCATTCCATTGGCAAACTCATTTACGTACTCAAATTAAGGGCAAATACACTTAATTTAAGAAATTCTTTACTTATTTCTAGATCATTTTTCCAGTGTGAAGTGCTAGTGCATTTAAGCACCTGGAGGCTGATTCTCCAAAACACATTCCAAGTCAGTTGCAAGTCAATGACCCATCTGTTTTTTTCTTAAATGCAGCAAAGGAGAGCCAGCAGCTTTGTGCAGCATTTAGCTGTACGCTTGCACCCCAAGAGCAAAGGACACACCTTTGTAGGGCTGAAACAATGAATAAGATTATTCAGTCATTGAAATAATCAACTAATTTCGTAATTGATTAAATGGAGTATAGAGCCTGTAAAATATGCCTTTAGCTGACAGAGCAACCCACTTAGAGCATCAATTATATCGAGATAATAAAATATATCAATATTTTTTATTTAAGAAAAAAAAGTCAGAATGTCTCAGTTCAAAAATTTTTAGTTTCACCTGGTTTCATTTATGAAAAAAAAAAAATATCATAAAACAAAGTAAGGATTCTTTGGCTATACCTACTGTATTAGTCGGGCATAGAAAAAAATGGACAAATTAATCATTTTGCATAATAATCATTAGTTGCAGCACTAAACCTTTGACAACGAAAAAAAATTCAGATTTTAGATCGATGGTTTTGAAGAGTGTTAACCCTTTAACAGCCTGGTTAAGCAAACGGTTGATTATTTTTACAGGAAAATGCAGGCTGGAGTTAGACAAGGATATTAAAGGGTTAAGGAAGCCATCTTTGTTGAGATGGAAAGGGCATCACTGAACAGAGGGGAAAGCTTGTGGTTTCAGCTTCCAAGCATCTACAACTTTGTCCTGAAACTCATTTTAAAGCGTTAACACAAGTACACTCATTATTATAATGGCCATACAAAACCATACAACAACAGACTCCAACTACCAGAGAATGGCAGGTGGGTCTATAGTTTGTATCCAACAGAATATGTTTAGCAGATGGCTCTGCTGTGAGCCTACAGAACTGAAAGCCTAATGGATGGGTGTGCAACGTTTCAAACCAAGCAAAAATCCAGTTGCATCTGATTTAAGCCCGTTTTGTGGTTGGCATGACCCAGATTACTGAGAAACCTGCACAGGTATGTCTGATGAGTAGCCTTTTATACTGTAAAATTCAGATGATACAGATACAGTGTTTGGTTTAAAACAAAATGCACAGCAAACGCTTTAGAAAATATGCTTTTTATTTTATTAATAATTTTTCACATATGATAAAAAACTGCATTCTTTTCCAACTACACCCGTTTTCCCTTTTAGCATTCCACATCATCATCATACCTCTTCATCACCATATTCAGTCGTCATCCACTGGGACATCCCAGCAGCAGCAGTTTTCTTCAGAAGAGATTTAAATGCATCCAAACAGCAAATGTTCCGTTAGGAGAAAGCAACTAAGTGACACAGCAACACCTCAGTAGGTACATCCAACATGGCGGATGCCTTGTCCATTAAAATATTCCCCCTCCAATTGGTAAACATCGTATTTTTCTTTGCTACAAATGAAAATGGCCTTCAGGACTGTTGCAACATCATCCAGATTTTTTTTTTTCCTTTAATACAATAATATATGTTTTGGGTCAGGTTCAGCCATGATGTGAAGCAGGAATCAGGTTTAAAATGACACTAGAGAAAAAGGAGGTAAACACACATGCGCACAGATAAACTACTTTTAAAGTGCTTTAACAGTGATTGGAAACTTGTTTCAGTCTTGAGCTCATCGCACTCGGCCCCATTGGACTCTCCCTGGGTTCAAGTGCTCAGCAGTGGAGTCATTAGCCTTAACGACACGTGCAGGACTCTGCCACCATGTCCTCCAGCTCCCTGTAGTCTACCTTCTTCTTGTAGACCACCAACACACTCATGGGCATGTACTTGTAGGGGACGCAGGATGGGGCAGGGACGTCGCCCACGCCCAGCTCTTTGATGAGGGTCTGGATGATGGCGTGGTTGGGGGAGTGGTAGCCATAGTGGAGCACCTTGGGGCAGTCGCCCTGACAGAATCGAGGGTTGTACACTCGCGGAGCGATGAAGTAATGACCCAAGCCAAGCTCGTTGAACGCCAGGTTGAAGGAGTGCAACTTGCAACGATTCTTTGGGACGTCCGTTTTGCGTCTGTAGTTGGGGTTGTCGAAGATGGACGCAGGGGAGGAGGCCAAAGAGGAGGCGAGTTCGTTTTTCAGCTCGTCCAGCGAAGAATTTTTGGCATCTGGAGGGGATACCTCCTTGGAGCTACGCCGGTGGCGAATGGAAGGCTGCCCCCACCACCCGATTCGCTTCATGAGGTTTTCCCCCTCAGCGCCGAGCAAATCCCCCATCCACTCCTTCACCTCCCTCTCCTCCTCCAAATACAGTAGAAGAGAGGGTACTTCCAGCTGAGGCTCGCCGCTCCAGCGCCTTCTACCCCAAATCGGGGTCCACCACCATGAAGGGCCCCAATCCTCGCCAGCAGGAGCTGCACACCAATACTGGGCGGTGAGGGTGAGGCGTCCCCGCTCCCCCTGATCCCTTTCCTGCAGGATGTGAGCGCTGACATGTGCCGTTATGTCCGTCTCCGTCCAGCGCTGGTGGGGTTCCAGGGTCACCAGGCTGCTGGCGCCCAGTGAGGTGATCTGAGCACGACAGCGGGGCGGCTCTATTGCCTGGGTGGTGCCTGAGGGTGTGGAAGAGGAGCGCAGGTGGATAAAAGAAGCTCTGATGAGCTGCTCTGAGGGAAGAGTGTCCAGTTTGTATTGTACCGTGAAGGTGTAGGTCAGATCTGAGAGAAAAGAAAAGATAAAAAATGATATAATCATCATATTGTTCTAGCAAAATATTAAGATATCATGTTCCAGGGACTTTGGCCACTCCCCCCCCCCTTTTTATGGCAGATAGGAAAATATTTTTGCTCATGAAAACTACAGAAGAGTGCTGGGCAATTAATTGAGTTTGCAATATTATCGCAATTTTAAGTAGTCATCACACTTTTTCCAGGTTAAAATGTTTTCAGATGATGCTTTTCAGTGAAAACCTGCTGGGAAATCTGGAGTGTTTTTTTTTTTTTCCATGGTGGCTCTTTGTTCAAAACACAAAAGTCATCAAGAATGCAGTTATGGTCCTTCTCCTTGATTAACATCATTCATAGAGCGCCAACATTAGCCTACCTTACTAACACCTATCCCTGCTCTAATCCACCAAAAAGGGGTGATTCCAAAATATACCCTCACTTGGCAGTAGCCAGATTGATATGTGTAGAACTGAGTATAGTTCTTGGTTATCAATCTGGGATGGCTGCCGTTCAGTCTGCCCATGAAAAGAAGGGATGTTTAGTGCTCTTTGAGCTGATTGGGTGACATGCCAGCTAGTACCCGCCTTAAATAATACACCTTCAGCCGATTGTAGCAGCGAATGTTGACGTTTCAGATGTGCACCAGGAATAAAAGATGGGATGTGTTTACTGAAATATAGACCTTTGTTGGAGGTTTAAAAAAAGTGCTTCTCTGCTTCTTTTTAGACAAGAATTTGTCACGATTTTAGCTAAACATCGAGTCAATTGCTGTATCGACAAGCGAGTCCTCCAGTGTAGCCATGTTTGTAATGCAGCAAGGCCTTTCTGACTGCCGTCATGCCTACATGCCGCCCCCCCCAAAAAAAAAACCACTGCTGGCATGTCATTGGTCTGACTGTGACGGACGCATTAGCGGGAGACTTTCAAAATGGTGTGGAGTAAAACATTTTGAGGTATGACTGTTCTTAGCCTCATAGGCTCCAAACGAAGGTCTCCTTTATGGCATTAATTGGAGAACTGTTGTTTCGAGGAGATCCAAAGATATATTAACCTGACAGAAAATGGCCTTGATGAACTTAAGTTGTGTTTCCTCCAAATGTTCAAGTGTGAGAAAGTTCTTTATGCAGGAGGTGGGGTTGGTTCCCCTGGGGGGAGTGTGTGCTGGGATTCTTGTAAGGTATAACTGTATGTACTAAGGTTGCCTCAGTCAAAGCTCCATCTCTCCATCTGAGGACGTTAAATTTGAACCTTTTTTCTTGCAAGAAATGCCTCCGTCTCAGCTTCTTCACTTCACAATGGATTTTTTGAGAGACTGAAAACTCAGATCTAGCGACTATCCAGCTTGCAGCGCAAGGTTGGGACTTCCCTGCAGATAGTTGGTAATAGTTGCTGCTTGTCACTACCTGGTCACAGAGGCTCGATCCGTCCTGCTCATGCGCGAACAGATATACATCTGGGTGTCCATAAATAATATAATTATGGTACTAAGACGACTTATTTCTATCCATAACTCACTAAATTATGCTAATACACATCTTTAAAACATGTTTTATAACTTTTTTGAGACAATTTTGATGCTTTTTACGTTTTCTTTGTTAAACTCTTCTCTGACATCATCATCAGACATCCTCAGAACAGTCTAGCAAAATATGATTAAACCATGTTTATCTGCATTTTCTTTAGATTACACACTATATAGTATAATGTTAACATGAAAAGAAAACATACAAAAAAAATAAAAATAAAAAAAAATCTAGATTTATGTTTAAATCTAAAGCCGAAAAAGTTAACTTCCTGAAGTAGCGTAGGATCCCATTTCTGGTGCAGATCAGGCAGAGACGACTAATAAAATAGAGTGGATTTTAAGGCATTTAGTTTCTCAGGAAATACATTAACCTTTAACACATATTTTAGTACGCTTACCATTTTTGGGGAGGGAAAAACATCATTTAGGTCTGTTTAACAAAATAAAATTGAGGGCGACCTTGATGCATAGCTGGATGAGCATGAGCAGGACGGATCGGGTAATGACACTGCTTGTGGAACCTGAAAACCGGTGAACAAATCATGCCAACTGTGAATGTTTCAAACACTACTATCACATGAACAAGCATAAACAAAACCCCTGTGAGAAAAACTAATTATTCAAAGTGTAGCCTTGCGTGCCAGACTGACTTAACGGCATATTCACAGCATATCAATCTGGAAAGTAGTAGGTTGAGCCTAATTCCAAGGGCGAGTTGAACAGTCTGCAAAAACAGTTGAGAACCAATCAGATAACTACTAATATTATTTTTTAACAATATAGACAGCTCTTAAGATGTCATTAAAACAATGCTCAGTTGCAACTGGAAAGGAAAAAAAAAAGAAAGCCAAATTATTGTTTTTACCTGCAAGGATCTGTGCACCAACCATAACTCTCTCTTCTTCTCTGTGCAGTGGTAAAACCCAAGTTAAGTCAATATCCCTGTGAATCCGTTTTATCTTTAAATCTGAAGCAGTCCTTGTGCTCTGATGAAAAAAACATGGCATTTAGATGTCCACTAATAAGATGAGCTAAAGAAACTAATATTCAAGTCACCTAAGCATAACTTCAAAATCTGCAATTTGGGATCTCTAGAGCTGCTGCAGTCTGGTAAATTTCTGTTATATAAGAAAACGATAAATATGAGTTAGTTTTTATCTGGAACTGTGAGTCACTGTCCTCTGAGGAGCTGAACTGCTTTATTTTAACTAGTAAAGAGGAACACAACATTAAAACAGGCGGATCTAGGGGGCGGCTACCTGGGCTACAGCCCCGGATCTCGCTTCTGAGCTGATCTGAGTAAAATCTGCAGTACAGGAATTCAACAGGGGCAGCATGTGCAAGAATGCAACCTGTAGCATTACCCTGCAGAAGAAGCGTTTTGCTTTCGTCGCTGCCAGCTTTTAGGAGTTGTGTGCTTCCATGGTAAATAAACAGATAGGCGAGTGGCGGATATCAATGGATATCAGAGGCTTTTTGAAAAAACAGACAGCCGCACCACCAGTAGCACCAACGACTGTTGCTAAACAGGCTGATGTCCCAGATACGTGAGGCTTTGACTGATTTTGAGACGTTTTTTTTCCCCTCAGTCTTGTGTGAAAGTCTTTTCAAGGTTGTAACATAAACAAAGAGAAGAGGCCTTTTTTTAAGCCGTTTTGTGTGTTTTTTTTTTAAATGCCCCACCCCCCAAAAAAAACTGTCTTTTTCCAACTTTTGTCACTTAAGCCTGTAAGAAATAAAAGTCAGTCACCACACACAGTTTTCACATTGTGCATTTATAATTTTTCATTGCCGATATAAGAGGATGGAAACTGGCTGATAGCAGGACACAACAATTAACACTTCCTGCAGAGGCAAGAGTGTATATTTTCTGGTAAATCCTGATCTAATGTAAAATATGACAGATTAGTGGATTCAGGGAATTTCTGGTATGCTACAAGCTACCACACATAAAAAATGTTCAAGTTGGAAACAGTTTCTCTGTATTTCCCAAAGATATGGGAGGAGGAGAGATTTTTACACTGGAAAAGCAATCTAGAAATAAGTAAGAAATTCTAAAATTAAGTGTATTAACCCTTTATTTGAGTAGGGAAATGAGATAATTTGCTAATAGAATGAGTGTTTTTACTCTTAGAATCAGATGATTAGATAATATGCACTTGAAATAAGACAATGCAGTTTTTTCTTATTTTAAATTGAAATAGTGTTGTTCCTTTGGCAAAGTGTCTCTTATCTCCTAAATTTAAGAATAAATGCACTTATTTTAAGAAAAAAAATGATTCATTTTCCCCCCCAGTGTATTTGCCTGAAATAATCTGTTCCCCCTCCATAACATGGAAAGAACTTAATTCACATGTGAGTCATTAACTGGGTTTATTCCTCTCCTCATTAGAAACAAATCCTGTGGATTTGGTGACATGTGATCATTATTAACCAAAATTAAAGGAGGGGAACCATGTATATATTTAAGCTGACAGAAATAATCCATCTTCACCCTCAGGGCTAAGCCCCTGATCTAGAATCCTAGATCCGCCCCTGCATTAAAATGAGACTTTCTGTGTGATAAATTCAAATAATGGGAAAGGAGGGAAAGTGTGCAGGTTAGTGGTGGGGCCCTGCCCCCCAGCAGCAGGTTCCTCACCTCCTGAAGCGGGCAGGGAGCGCACGGAGGACGCCGCGGGTCTCAGGAGGCGGACCGTGTTGGAGCCGAACTTCCGGTGCTGTTTGGGTCTGCCGTCGGGTTCGGCTGCGCTCCGGTACAAACTGAGCATGAACTGCAGGTTCTGGTCGGCCTTCTGCTCGTCCGTCAGCGGCCGGTGGTGAGCGCCACGGTGGCTCCGCCGGCTGCGCCTCAGCGCGCGGCGGGCCGCCGCCGGGGGCCCCGCGACGCAGGTGGAGCACAGCAGGTGGAGGAAGCAGGTCAATAAGCAGACACGCAGGAAGCCGTGCTTTGCGTGGGTCACCCTCATTGTTCGTTGATACAACCTGTGGTGCTAGCGAGCTCCACCGACCAGGCTATAGTCGGCAACCATCCTTCGCACGGCTGAGGGCGGGGCTTACAGCTGCACCTGACGGAGCGCCATTTGGGTGTTTCTGCGCAAATTGGCTGCGGGGCCAATTAAGCGCTCAGTGGGGAGGATCAGCCAACCGGAGCGCAGGGAAACCATGTGAGCGCTGCGTAAAGGTGCGTCAAACAGCCAAAGCTGGCCGCTTTGAAAGCACTTTGAGCAATCATGTTTTATTTTCGATCATTTTGAATTTCTGTCTTTTTCCAACCAGCACGTTTTATTTTTTTAATTTTTTTTTTTTAAATTCAGAATCATTTGCATATAAACTTTAATAATCTTTCACATTTAGTCAATAAAAAAAAAAAACATTTAACTATAGATATTTTTACCAAGATTGTTTTACTTTGAATACATTCTCATAACTCACTTGAATTCAATTTGAATTTGCAAGAGAATCCTATTAAATTCCCTTTAAATTAAGAAATTAAAGCACCAAAATCTTCAGTCCTGGATCTGTGCAAAACAGGGGCGGAGCTAGATGGGGGGCCAGGGATGGCCATGGCCACCCCTACTATTTTTTCCTCTCAAGTACAATATTCAAAACATTTAGGCTATGTTCACACTGCAGGCCTTGATGCTCAATTCCGATTTTTTTTGTGAAATCCGATTTTTTTGTGTGTTTTGCAGTTCATACTTCCAAATAAATGCAACTTGTATGTGATCTCCTGTGTGAACTGCAGTCATAAAACGCAAGTGTCCCCCATGCACAGTGGAGGACGCGATGACGTCACAAGCCAGCGTGCTTTATGTTTACCGAAGTAAACATGGATGGTAGTGCCGGTGCGCATCTAGCTATCTTTTCCAATGATAAAAACTCAATCTTTTCAATATGGTTAAACATAAATACTGTTCTCCGCATCATCATCCGCCATGGCTGTTGTTTTTCTTGCCGCTTTTGCGTAGCAAGACACATAATAGTGACCTTTGTCAAGTATTAATGATGTTCAGGTCGGATGAATGCGACAAGATCAGATTTGTACCGGATTCAGGATCACATAGCTAAGGGGCCTGAGTCGCATTGGAAAAAATCGGATCTGTGTTGTTCAGAATGCAATGAAAAGATGAGATCCAGGTCGCATATGGGCAAAAAAATCGGATTTGGGTCACCAACTACTTGACAACAAAAACACTGTGGTTAATTATGCACATCAATATTCCAACATTAGAGATGATTAGTACAGAATTCATGGTCCTTCAGAACTAGATTTTCTGTTACAGTATATGCCTTAAAGAGAAAATGATGTGTCTCTGCAAGTCATCAAAGAGTCTTTAGTGAAATTATAGATACTGCAAATAACAATTTTAATCAAAACCTATTAAATTATCAATTTATTTGTAAATATCAATTTAATGTTGAGTGATATTGATAGGTAAGTAATGATGAACCTAAACTCAAACCTCAAAGAATTTTATCCAATATAGCTTTTATCTAGACAGATGTTTAAATGTATGCATCTATTTGTTAGCAAAGGCTGCAGGAAACTATAGTTTGTCCGTATTTAGAAATATGGATGTTGTTCTTGTTCCTGGTGGAACAGTGTAGATTGACCCTGAGGTTCTGGTGCCTATCCACTTTTTTCGACCCCTCGGTGTATATTGGTTATTGCCTGGCCATCCTTATAAACATTTTCTGGTCTTGAGTTTTACAAACATTTCCTAATAGTTTCTCCCCAGATTCACCTCAAATATATATTTCATTTTATGATGAGTAGTTATCCAGATCTTTTGTTCAGCCTTCTCTGTACTATAACTTTTTTTTTTTCATGGAGAGAGTAGGCCATTTAAAAAAATAAATATAACTTCCACTGTTTGTTTTTTTTAACACTTTTGCATTTTTTTTCTACTTAGTTAAGGTCGAACAAATGATTTTTTTCAAACAAACAATCAAAAACGGCATCGTATTGGATGCTTTGCTGTCTGGCTGACTATCTAAAAAGTTCCTCTTAATTTTACTAAATCAGTACAAAAACAAGCTTTAAAATAGTTTAATGCATCATTTTGATGAAAATTTAATTGATAGTGACAAAATATCTCATTTATGAGCACCTGCCAAACAGAGAAAGTTATGCACTTTAAAAACAAGCAAAACATCCCCGCTCCTCAGATCATTAATGTGTTTTCCTGTTCTGTAAACAGTTTCTAATGGTTTTTCACTTCAATATCCGATCATGCTTTATTTTGAAAACTTGTCACCATGTTCATTTCCATAACTGGATACAAAGACAGGTCCTGCCTATACACAGTAAAGCCCACAGGGTTAAATATGTAGGATCAAAGTACATTCACTCTTTCAGAATTTTTTACAACAACTGGAGTAAGATATACACTATTAGAGAGTTACTTTAACAATAATTCAGAGTGTTAAATTTAGTTCTTAAAGTATTACTTCAACACTGCAAAGTTTACTGTTATGGAACAGAGAAACTAAGATCGACTAAATATCCCTCATTGCACATTATTTATAGAACTGAGCTAAAGATGGGTGTGAAAAAAGTGAAGCTATGTTCATTTGCCAGGAATTATCTAATTAATTTCTGTATAACTTTATTAGCATTTCAAATAAGTCAGAATCAGAATCAAGTTTATTGCCAAGTAGGTTTCCACTTACAAGGAATTTGACTTGGTGTTGTTGGTGCAGACAAAAAACAAACAAAACAAAAACAAAATAACAAAATAAGATAGAATATATATATATATATATATATATATACACAGAAGCTATATACAAACAGTAGACTGTGCGTTAATGTAAACATTTGAAGAAAGTAAAAATTTGAAGAAGTTTTCCCCAAAATCTGTTTAGCCCGTATTTGTTTCTATGGTAACAAATTAAACGTCTTTGGTTCTGCATTTAAGCTGCAGGCTGATGGAACGCTTTTATTCAGAGTTCAGTTTGCTTTGGATTATTTTCCAAATGCATTCATCAGTTTAATCAGATAGCTTATGCTGCAGGGTCTAACCCCTTTTGCTATTAAAACACTTAAATCTTTGTCTGGTTTTAACAGGAGGATCATGTGTGGAAGCTTTTATCAAACCTTCCCCTGTGCTTATTTGATTCTATCTACAAAGCAAATGACCTTTATAAACTGGATGCTGTTATAACTTGGAAAATATACCTGATGTACCGTGGAACATACACTCTACACAGATTTACTTTAAAAGAACCATAACCGTTTAGCACCGTCTGAACCTGTGTCACTCTATGACCACTAGGGGGCAGAATAAGCTAATTAACATAGTCATTAACGCTTTGCAGGATTCTGAAAATTGCAGGCCATTAGTCTCAAATGAGTCTTTTGAAGCTCCACATTCAATCTTGATCAAATAAAAAAGATGTAATAACAAGTGCTGGTTTTAGTGGGTTTTCATTTTCCAAAACTAAATGAGACCTGAGACCAGTTTTCTTTGAAATTTGGTTGCAAAAGTTGCATTTTTTTAATGTAATTTTTGACACGAACATAAGTCAATTAAATTCATTTTTATTTATAAAGCGTCAATTANTTGAAATTTGGTTGCAAAAGTTGCATTTTTTTAATGTAATTTTTGACACGAACATAAGTCAATTAAATTCATTTTTATTTATAAAGCGTCAATTATAAAACACTTGAATTTACAGAGACAATCGTCTTTACAGATACAAGCCAATCAAATCAAACAGAAAGATTGGTGAAATGTTTTCTGACCAAGGAAACCCAGCTGACTGCACCAAGTCACCTACTTGTAGCGACAGGAGACATTCGTTTGGAATTTGTCTTTCACGTACAGCAATCATTCACAGAGCATGCATGCGGTGAAAGTGGAAAGGAATAACTTTCTTTTAATGGAAAGAAACCTCCCGTAGAACCAAGCTCAGTGAAATCAGCCTTCTGCAGAGGCCGACTGTGGTTCAACAAGACAGAAGCAGACACAAAAAAAAGAACATGGACTCACTAATCCATAAATCTTCTCCATGTTAGAAAAGGTAACGGTAAACTAGCTCTCTATACAAAAGAAGCATTTAAGCAGATGATCTCTAAGCTAGTTTTCATAACAAAAAGAATGAAAGAGAGCGCATGCAATTAGTCTCAGTAACACTGAGTCCATTACCATGCCTAGGAGAAAAACAAGACTAAACACTAAAAAACAGGCCTAACTCTAGTCTATAATAGAAGTTATAGATAGCAGCAGCCTAGATATTGGCTTCTTCCAGGATGATTATTGTCATTTTGTACACAAACTGTATAAAAGGAATTTCGTTAAATACAGCTCTTAAGAAATTTTCATTTTTTAAAGTGCAGCAGTGATGGTAGGAAACAGTGATAAATGTAAACATGCAACTGTATATGAGTTACAGTTTCCAACATTCAGGTTTTTTTTGTTTTTTTTAACCCCGTTTTATACAACATTCATCAGTCCAATTGCAGTGGGGAAGAAACTGCTGGACCTGCATTGGATGCTTCGAAGCCTCTTCCCAGAGGGCAGCAGGGAGAACAGTCCAAGCTGGGGGTGTGAGGGGTCATTTATAATGTTACAGGCTCGTGACTTGCAGTACATGCACTTTTGTGCCCTTTTGAGGTGAGATGGTGTTTACATTCCAGGCGAGGGTGTCTGTGATGTGCACCCCCAGG